AATTTTGGGATTCAGCCTTGAAGGCTGCTGCTGAGAAGGGCTGGTGAGGCAGGTGGCTTTGCCCCTGGGGCAGCAGAGGAAATCCAATACCCAGGGCTGTGGGCTTTGCACCTTGGATGAGTGAGGGATTCATGGCTTGGAAATCCATTTCCAAGGGTAAGTTGCCTTGCAGACATGTCAGGAAGTGGTGGGACCACTGTCCCTGGAAGTTTAAAACAATGTGTGGCACCTGGTGGGCTGGTGGTGGGCTTAGCAGTGCTGGGTTCAGGGCTGGACTCGATGATCCTGGGGCTCTTCTCCAACCTTCTTGACTCCATCATTCCAGGAGCTGCAGGCATGTATCCTGTCAAAGGGGTGACCTCACACTCTGTATGGTTGCGTGCTAAAGACTGAGGATGCCTTTGAAGAGGTTTCCAGGTCTGACTTCAGTTTCTGTATGAAGAGAAGCCCTAGGAGAGGTTTTTGGGGTGTGACTTCAGAGATGGATTTTTAGATAGTCAGTAACTGAGGCTCCCTGAACTGATGGATGCTTTGGGAATTCAGCTTGGAAATATGTGGGAGATCTTCAGAGAACTTTTTTCATGCTGGCACGGGAGTCCACCTTCCAAAATCCTCAGCCTATGGCAAGATCCCTATGGCCAAGCACGGGAGAATGTATCACTGCAGATCCCTGTCACATCCAAACTGTATTCTTGTACCTGTGTTGGATACAGCTCCTTCCTCTGGCCTGATAATCGCAGTTCCATTCATTTTCCAGCCTCAGAAATCCTTCTTTTGTTCTTTTAAGGCTATCCAGCTCCATTTTATTTTTGGCTGGCTGTAGAGCACCAGCCTCCAAGCCAAAACTCGATGGTAAATCTGTGACAGTCTCTATCAGGAAAAAGGATAATGATGGCACCCAGGAGTTTTATCAGCCACAGCTGTTGCACTGTTTGCTGGAGAAATCGTTCTTTGAAATATACAACCAAAATAAAGAGCAGAGCATCTGCAGCACTGTGGATAATTTAACAAGTAATCTCCCCTGAAAGAGTTGTCTGGCTTTACCAACAGCAAGGTGATAAAAAGTGTTCTTTTCTACGGAGACAGGCTGGGAGTGTTCACCCTGGAGAGAAGGGAGAAGGCTCTGGAGAGAGCTTAGAGCCCATTTTAGCTTGAAGAGGATCCCAGAGCAGGAGAGGGCCTTGGGACAAGGGCCTGCAGTGCCAGGACAAGGGGAAATGCTTCCCACTGAAGTAGGATAGATTTTGATTAGACATGAGGAAGAAATTCTTCCCTGTGAGGGTGGGCAGGCCCTGGCACTGGGTGCCTAGAGGAGCTGTGGCTGCCCCTGGATCCCTGGAAGTGCCAAGGCCAGGCTTGGAGCAACCTGGGATAGTGGAAGGTGTCCCTGCCCATGGCAGGGGCTGGAATGGGATTCTGTGATTCCTTTGACCAGCAGGGAAAAATAGCCCCAACACTTTCTGTCTCCTCTGCAGTTACTCACAAGCAAATCCCAGTTCTGGACCACCACATGATTTCTGCTCCTTGGTTTCTGTGTATGTGCAAAATATGTCCTGCCCCTCGTCCTGATACAACCTCTGCTGATAACTCAGCCTTTAATGTGCAACAGGCCACCTGACAAGCAGCTCCTGATAAGGATGAATGAAGGACCATGTGCCTCATCTCCTCAGATCACAGTGTGAACATCCTAAACCAATCCCACTACCAGGCTGCACACACAACGCACTGCAGCATCACCTCTAGGGGAGCCTGTGGAAACCCTTCCATTCCCAAAAGATGGGGTACACAGCCCTCATTCTGCAGTGGGGGTGTTATTCATCCGTGTATCAGCTCCTCACATTCCAGCTCCGGGCTGGTCCCCATGGCCTCCCTGCTTTTTTAAATCAACTCTTCCATTTGAGTTTCCATCCTGTGCTTGTCAGTCCTGTCCTTGGATCTAGTCCAGGAAACCATGGGGTTTCTGTGATCTGCTCTTTTGCAGAATGGGAAGTCTGCCTTTTTTTCTTTTTCTTTTTTTTTTTTCCTTGTGGAAGAAAGCTAGAGGGATCTCCTGGTCTTTTGCAGGCCTTGTGACCCTGGAAGAGGGAAGTAGCTCTCCTTTCAGCCTGTGTTTCATAGTCACACAGACATTTCTAGGGCTGCAGAGGTTTTGACTCCTCTGACCTCTCATCCTCATACATTCTAAACTTTATTTTTGTCATTAATGGGCCAGCACTCACTTCTTGCATTTCTACTAAACAACATATCAGGGCCGGATTCCAGAGTCCACCCAGCTGTTTAACAGGCTCTGAGTGTAACCCTTCAGACTTTTCAGACATTCCTCTCATTATTTTGATGCCACTGTTGCTATTCCTACACTTCTGCTGGCACATCTTGCCCTGCTCTGATGCTTTTTAAGAACTGAGTGAAGGTGCTTGTAAGGAACACAAATTTTTAAGATATCACATTTAAGGAGCTTGCATTAGGAAAAGACTCCTTGCTCCTTGATAAGCAGATAGAGAAAATGTGAGGTGTTTTAGTGCTTTAGTGGATTCCAATCCAAAACTGTGGTTTTGGTCTTGCCATAGGAAAGGGAAAACGGGTCAACTGAGGTTTTGTCAAATGCAAAGCACAGGTGCTTTTTAATAGATACTGGTATTAAGGAAATGCTGTGACTCACATGAAATGAGATTAAACAACCCTTAGAGCAGCAAAACAGAGGAGGGAATAATTGGGAATGTGAAAGGTCCATGCAATTTTGTTCACACACATCATCTATCAGTGCTACTTTAGTGTCAAATGCTTAAAACCAGGAGATCATCTTGGTACCTTATTATGAAAGCAGCAATCCAGTGGCTTCTGGACTGCCTAACTCAAAACACCTTGGTGCTCTGCTGCTGGTTCCTTCAAAACCCATCTAACCTCAGATCATGGGAAGATGATTTTAGAAGGAAATTCTTTAGTATGAGGGCAGTGAGGCCCTGGCACAGGGTGCCCAGAGCAGCTGTGGCTCCCCCTGGATCTCAGAAGTGTCCAAGGCCAGGTTGGACATCGGGGCTTGGGGCAGCCTGGGGCAGTGCAGGGTGTCCCTGCCCATGGAGGAGGAACTCGCCAGGCAGAAGAGGATGTGCACTTGGATCCCCCATACAGTGGTTGTGTGCTCTGGACTCCAATGTGCTGCAAGCTCTGAGCACCTCCACAAACACTCCAGGGCCTCTGATTCAGAACAGGAGAGTGAGCTGTGGGTCCCTGGTGGGCGGCAGAACCTCCCTGCAGGCCTCACTGAGAAGCTGTGTTTAAGGCTTGCCCCTGTGCTCAGGGTTCCCTGTGGAGCAGCCCCAGGCAGCTGCATCCAGAGCACGCTGAATCACGGCCACTCCCCGTGCTGGCCACTGTGGGTCCCATCCTGCCACATCCTGAAGGTGTTTGCATGCTCCCACAGAGCCCTGGCTTCCATTCCAGGGGCTGCAATTGTCGGCTTGGCTTTTTATTCCAGATCTGTCCCAAAGTAGATTGGATCCGCGACAGGAAAGACTCCAAGCACGAGCTCTGCCAGCTGCTCCTCGTCTACAAAATCTAAAAGTTGCTGCTCCTGAAGCCAGGCATTTTTATTTGCATGAGAAAGCTGTAGCTGACTGTAAGATAGTCTGTGATCTGATTTTAAAAGAAAAGGATAAAAATAAGTCTAATTGTGTTCTCGTTCTGCCTCAATTTAGCTGCTGGCCGTTCTCTTTTGTGCTCCCCACATTTCTGGAAAGCTGGTTGACACTTATTTAGGTTGGCACAAACTAAATATAACCAAGTGTGTGTGAAAGAGCATGGACTGGGTCACAGCTTCCAGAGCAGCAGAAAGAAGCACTTTGCTTTAAAATACAAAAAATCCAGCTCTTTCCGAGACAGCTCAATGAAACACACACAACCTGAACAAAAAGTGAGTGCTCCATTCAGCTCCTGAATGCTGCTGAAATTTTTATTTTATTTTTTTGCCAGCTTTTACAGTCCACAGCCTTCTCGTTCAATCCTGAATAATAGCTTTGAATCGGGCTGTAAAAGCTTCCGAAGTTTGAAGTCTTTTGACAAGTTAATTTAGCTGTATGGTAAAAAGTTTTTCCCCCAGATAGAATAAAGCCATCATCTCATGAATGTAGTAGTCAGCCAAGGGAAAGAAAACACCATTAGGATTAGAAATGATGGGCTTTCTGGAGATAGTTTGTGGTTTAGTGTAATCTACTATCAATATTTCAGTAGAAAAATATCCTACTCGTCATTCAGCTGCAAGTCAGTCTCTTCACGTAAAACCAACACCCAGGGGCCAGGCTGCAAATGTTTTTATTCCTATTTTTCTTCCTTCTTTATTTTTTTTTTCCCTGGTCATATTTTTGTTAAATTTACTTAGATTTTAATTGTTTTTCATCCTGGACAATGCCCTTTTTTTTTTTTTTGCCTGGTTGAAAGAGACAGAACAGAAAAATGGATCAATATTTCCTTGAAGGTTCCCATTCTAGAGAGACACACCCCACATTTTTCTCCCAGCAGCTGCCGTGGATGAAAAGAAATATAATGAATTGATACACATTTCCCTTTTTTTAATATGAAGAATTGGAAAATGAGTGCTGATAAATTAAGCATATCCAACAGTTATTCTGGCCTTGACTTCACAAAGATTCCATGTTCATTTTAGACTTATTTCTGCTTTTTATCGCAATTTAAGCCTAAATGTGTTACTGAAATTGACTGAACCAAAAAACCCCAAAAACCAGTTGAGAGGGAAAAGAGATTTCTTTCATACTCTTAATTCTTCAGTTTAATTTGGAGGGATGATGACACACTAAGAACCTTTGGGCAATGGTTTGTAATGGCCACAGAATAATTTTTCTCTCTGCAGCAGGAATGATGATCCTTGTGGATCCCTTCAAAGTCAGGATATTCCATAACATATTTGAGAGCCTAGCTGCTAAATAAATAGGAAGTTTATAGAAATCTAGAAAAATAATGAAAACAAACTTCAGCAAGCGGTTTTATTTTAAAGGTGTATTTTACTCAGTCATTGTAAAGTGACTGCCATAACAATCCAATGTATCTCCATCAGCAAAAATATAGTGTAAATATGGAGAAGAAAGCCAACTTTACATTTGTGACCTCCATTTTGAACTTCACTTGCTTGTTTCTCCCCCCAGGCAGGGAACAGGGACTTGATTTTGCCCAAAACAACAGCAATAACTTGTTTCTAAGAGTCTGGCTCTTACTGCTTCAGGATTCCAGCTCTCCAGGCCCTGAGTGCTGCAGGCTTGATGAAGTGTTGGGTGTGCAGACAAGCTGGGAAGCGGCTCCTGCAGCCAGACACAGGCGTGGGGGGCTCAGGAGTGGAGGAGAGCCACCTTGCTCTGGCTCAGAGCGAGCTGTGAGGCCACGAGAGAACGAGGAGTTCCCGCTGAAGCAAAACTCACCAGGATTAAAAAGCCAGTAATAACAGAAGAAAACTCCACAATAAGAGGTATGTTGGAGGAAAACACAGGAGGGGGCAACGTAAATTTAATATTCCTTCTCCCATCAGAGCTGTTTTGTAAGCTGTGTGGGTTTGATGGGGTTTTCCTTTTGATGGCAAAAAGGAGTAAACCAGTGTACTGTGGGACAGATGGAGAACAGGGAATGGGAGATAAAGCACAAAAGGGTGATGGAGGGACAGGAAAACCAAGGAAGGTCAGCCTGAATGATCAGGAGGAAGAAGAGGAGCCATCACCAGGTTGGAAATTGTGCCTAGGCTTGACTTCCTCCAAGGACCCAAGTGGCACTGTGACTTGGAGTAGATCTTTGGTGCCTAGGCTCCAGAGGAAGTTCCTGCTGGCTCTCTTCCTAACTCTATCCTCCTTTTTTTTAGCCTGTGGAATGGCAGGGTTGGAGTGGAAAGCTGAAGCATCCTCTTTTACTTTCAGCAGCTCCCTGTGACTAGCGAGGGAAATTAGCTGGAGTGTTGTGATGGCTGTTTCCTGCTTGAGAACATAAAAAATGGAATCATTCCTGACAAACAAGGAGTTCAGCTAAAGATGAGGTGGAGGTAGGCGGGAAGTTCTGTAATTGCTTTTTATTTAAATCTTTATGAATTAGCTCTGCCAGGGTGTTGGTTTTTATTTTAGATTTTTATTTTTTGCTTCAACAGGCTTCTGAGTAAGTTTTTCAGCTGCAAATACAGTAAAAACAGACTATATACAGCTATAGCCAATATGTTGGATTTAACATATAGCAAGAAGCCTTTCCCTTGTGAATCTCTGAGGGCTAATTTCCACGAGCAACGACAAAGGTTTAATTTTCTGCCATTATGCACAGGTTAGCCTAGACTGGGTATTAATAGAGACACGTACTCACACCCACAGCCACAGGTACAGCATCAATCAAAACCTGAAGGTAGAACTTACACTCCATGGCAACTTCCAGGGCACAGTTCTCTCCTCTCGTTTCCTGTTTCCAAACTGCTCCAGCAGTGCAGCCAGGGAAGGCAGCTGGGCTGGTTGGAACCCACGTTTAAAGGGTTTGGGACCAAATCCCCCCCTGGCTGGAGCAGAAATGGAGACTACAGGGGAGGACAGACCCCCAACCTGGTGCCCTGCTCCAGCCACCAGCAAGCAGACCTGTTGCCTTGGCAAATACTGCCCTGCCTTGGAAACCCTCTGGCCCTGACAGCCTTCACCCACAGCTCTCTTGGCACTCAGAAATAATTCCTGAGGGTATTGATACACAGACTCCCCCATCCATCCCAGCGCAGGGCTGGCCTCAGCAAAGAGGGCAGAACAACTCTGCAAAACCTCAGCAGCCAAAGAGCAACAAACGAGCCCAAAGAGGCTGCAAATGAACAAAAAAGGGCTGCAAAATGAACAAAAAAGGCTTCGGCTTCAGGCAGAAGAGGTGCTCTTAATGCCAGTGGTGCTCTCAGGCGTGCATTCCAGGGAAATTTCCTGGGAGCCTGTGGACAGTGTTGAAAAAAAACCCCAAAAATTTAAGGATGGGATCAATGTGCCAAGGATTTTTGTAAGGGTAGCCCTTTCAAATGAAAACACAGGTGGTAAATAGGTCCCAAAAAGTAAAAGAGAAAAGGAGCAGTGTTTATATACTACCAGGTACATACAGAATTTGAGATAGGGACAAAGTTGTTAGCAATTCCCATCAGGTCCCAGAATTTATGTAAATCCAGATGGCTGAACGACATGAGGTTTTGTTTTTTTTTTTTTTGCTATAAGGGAAATCTGGAAGTTTTAAAAACAATTTAGCAAGAGCCAATTAATCAAACCCACCAGAAGCGCGCTGGGATGGCTGCCTGCGAATAAGGAATGTCATGTTTCAGCTTCCCTTAAGCAAGGATGGGAAGAAACTCCTTGGAAGCTTAGCAGGAAATCTCCTTTCCACTGTCCAGCCTGGCCTTGGACACTTGCAGGGATCCAGGGGCTCTGGAAAACAGAAATAATGGGATGATACATTGCTGGTGGGGCATTCCCACCGGATTGTGTCCCACAGGATGAACTTCTTGCACCCAACACTGCAGTATTTTCCTTGCCATCATGTGGAATGTTTGGGAGCAGGACTTGGGGGAGTTTTGGGCGCTGCGTGGACCAACAAAACACGGGTGGAGCGAGATGTGCCAGCTCAACGCGGTAATTCCGCGTACGACTCAAAATCCAGCCGCTCTGCGAGAACGGGGGGAGAGGGAAGCACTGCCGGACAACTCCTTTTCATTTTTTTACACCCTCCCGGTAATTCGGGCAAATGTGCCCTGCCCTTTCTGTCGTTTTCCCCCCGCTTCAGCTGTCTGCGGCTACAGGCGGTACCCGGCGGAAAACACAGACCGGCCCATGAGGGAGCGGGACCGCGGCTGCGGAAAAACGGGCCGCAAAAAACACCCGAAGCTCCACGTATTTATGGCAAAACCGCCTACACGGCACGGATCGCAGCTACTGTGGGCTCTGGGGGCGGGGGGAAAGGAACCCGCTCCCACAATCCCTGATCCCGACCCCTCATCCCCGTCCCGGCGGGGCTCGGGGCCAACATGGCGGCCCCTGCCCCGCCCCCGGTCGCCATGGCGACGGGCCGCGCGCCACGGGGCGTGGCCGGGGGCGCGCGGGGCGGGGCCCGATTGGTCCCCCTTCCCCCGCGCGGCTATAAATAACCCGCGCCCGCTGATTGGCCGCGGGGAAAAAATGGTTGCACCACGTGACTCCCCCATCTAAAAAAAATTTCCAAGATGGCGGAACCCGTCACGGGCTGAGTCCGTCGGTGGCGCGCTCCGCGCCGGGGGGGCCATCGCCGCGCAGCGTCCTCGCCTCGCCCGCAGCCCAGGTCAGTACGCGGCGCTCCGTCCCCTCCGAGCCGGGCCCGGCGGGGGCGACGCCCGCGGCGGGGCCCTGCAGCGCCGGGCGGGCCGCGGCCCGGGGTCGGTCCTTCCATCCTCTCCCGCCGCGCCTCCTTCCCTTATCCTGCGGATAACGCGGGACTTGGGGAAAGTTTGCGTCCTCTCGCCCCGCTCCCCGCAGCTGCCGGGCTCGGGCCCCGCGGCGCTCACCTCCTCCTGGAGAAAAAGCCCCAAAATGGCTTATTTTGTGCCCGCCGCGAGCGAACGGGGAGCGCTGCCCTCGTAGGTCGGAGGCCTCGGGCTGCAGCCTCGCCGCCAGAACTCCGCTTCTGGGGGTTCCGGGGGGCACGGAGCACGTGTGCCGGCGGCGAGCCCCGAGCCGCGGCCGAATTGAGGCAGCGGGAGCCGGGCCTGGGGCCGGCGCAGGGAGCTGCTGCCCGGCAGCCGCCGTGCGCTGTGCTGCAGGGATCTGTCAGGGGGGATGCTCCGCGCTGCCCCGAAATGGTGCCCACACCGTGCTGGTGGCAGCTCGGCGGAGCAGATGGATTTACATAACAATAATTCGGCGCTGTCAGTGCTCGGCGCTGGGCAGCGGCTGGAGGGGAAGGGAAAGCGGCACCTTCCCCTGCCTTTCGCTGGGAGCCCTTGCGTAATGGTGTGCGGTGCGCCCACTCCGCGGCAGGGGAAGGTGCCGCTTTCCGTGGGGTTTTTGCCTGTCCATAGGCTGTTTTGGCAGCTTTGCATAAATCGGGCTCGCCGCCGCGAACGCCCGTACGGGAGGATTTCGTGTTCCAGCCTTGCCTCATATTCCGGGCTGGATTACAGCTCTGAAAGCGCTCCCAAGGAGTGGGGATCAGTGTCGGGAAGGTGTGGGTGGATTCAGGGTGTGAAAACGCCTTGTAAAACCCTGGGATGGGGCGTGCGGCGAGGCACTGGCTCTCTCCCGTCTTGCCGCTTCTTTCCCACCAGGCAGCTCGGAGCCGTGCTCGTTCCCTGCAGCTGCATCCCCTTGTCCTCACAGCGCTGCTTGGAGGCCGGGGAGATGGAGCAAGCCTTATCCTGGCCCCGGGAGCCACAGCCAGTGAATAATCCCCTGGCCAAGGCGTTTCGGTTTGCTGGTGTTTTGCCCTGTCAATAAATGGGGCTCGTGCTGCATTTATTCCCTGCCCTCAAAGTGCTTCGCTCGTTGCCAAATCTACCTGGAGTTAATTATCTGAATTGTGCTTTTCTTTCTTGCTTGTTGTTGTTGTCGTTGCAACGGCAACATTTTTAAAAGCTAAGGAGCTCTGAAGTTTATATAATAATCTGGTTCTTGGCCGGGTTTCCTGGTGGGGTGTTTTTTGTGTGTGTGTGTGTAATGCGGTCGGTCGCGGCGCTGAGTTTTAATTGTTTCTGATGTTTCCAGCACCGCTGTTCGGAGTTCTCAGCCTAAAAAGCTGCCGCCGTCGCTCCGCAGCCTCGCTGGAAGAGTTGAGGGCATTGAATTAAAGAAAGCTCAGCTGCTTGTATACAAATATACAGCAATTACAAGGCAACAAAGTTATTGCAGAACCCTGCTGTCGCCATGGCAACACGCTCACTCAATTACATTTGGAAATGTAAAATGCCACCCAGTTAGAGTAAGTTTTAGTGACTGCAGATTTTCTGGGTAAAGTGAAATGTGGAAGATGCAGCTTTCCAGGATTCTCTGCTTTTTCCCTCTGTCCTTGGATGGCATGTGCATCTGACAGATTCCCGGTGTTGGTATTAAGCTCTGCCCTTGGTGGTCTAAACTTAGGAAAAAAAATATCTTTAAATCTTCACAATTTTAACTTTTTCACCCTTTTGTTTGTTTTGCTTCAGGACTTAGTTTTGGAAGGGAGACAGATTAGAGAAAGCATTTTGAAAACCAGCTCAGAACACCAGAAGATTTTGTAATTTGCTCAGCGGGATGGAGGCGTGGAAGGAAGGCACACGTGTGGCATGAAAAGCTTGTATTCCCCTGGGAGGAGATGTTGGGTGGGCAGCCTGTGTCTGTGTGCTGCCACCTCCTAAAATCTCCTAAAGGGACTATCCTAAAGCAGAGGAGAACTGCCAGATGTGAGTTACCAGGTTCTTGAGGAGCCCAGGGAGTGTCCAGGGCGGGACATAACAGGTCCTGATGTGGGATGCCAGTGGCCTCCATAATGGAAATTAGTTTCACTTTCTTGCTTGCCTTTTGATGGTGAATCACCAGGAAAATAAAGAAAGGCCAGGTTGGAGAGGGCTTGGAGCAACCTGGGATAGGGGAAGTTGTCCCTGCCCATAGCAGGGCCTTTAAGGTTCCTTTTCACCCAAACCATTCCAAGAGTAAATGAGAACAGTCAGGATAGTTTCTTGCATGATCTTTGTGCTGGTGAAGATGCAACTCTCTGCTGTGCTTATGTTTCACAGGCAACATCCCAGTAATGCAGAAAAGATCAAAAACAGCAGTGCAGTAACAGCAGGAAAATACAAGAAAAAGGTAAATACAAGAATGAGGTGTTTTTCTTAAACTGGTGGTGATATGTTTACAGACACCTGGGGATTGATGAACTCCTGAAGAAGTTACCTGGTAGCAGGACCTGATAGGAGATATTTAGGTAGGAGCAGATGGCACTGAGTTGTCTTGAAGAAACATGTTTTGCTCAAATCTTTAAGGGCTTGAACTGCAGACTGCTTCCTGAGCCCTTGGAGCATCTGGACTGGGAAGGTTTGCACATCCCATGGACCTGTGTTAGCTGAGGGATGATTTTTGGTGGAGGCTTTGCCCAAGTTGTCAGGTTGTTCTGCTTTCAGCACCAGCTTGTGATGTGCCAGCCTCGTGGTTTGCCCACTCCTGGAGAGCAGCAGCTTGAGCAGAGTGACTGCAGCCCTATGGTCAGTGCCTGTTCTTCTCCTGGCCATACAATCATGGAATGGTTGGGGTTGGGAGGGACCTTAAAGCCCATCCCATCCCACCCCTGCCATGGTCATGGACACCTTCCACTATCCCAGGTTGCTCCAAGCGCCAGTGTCCAACCTGGCCTTGGCACTGTCAGGGATCCAGGGGCAGCCCCAGCTGCTCTGGGCACCCTGTGCCAGGGCCTGCCCACCCTTCTCCCATGGGCAGAGGTGGAAGCACGGGAGCTGCCTGTTTATAACCTACTGAAAAGCTGTTGTTGAGTCTTCAACCTTAAACCCCTCCGTGGGACTGCAGGGGTGAGGAGCAGGACTTGTTCAAAACAAAGGTTGAAATTGCCTGTGGGTTTGGCTCAGTTTGCTCTCTTTATCTCTCTTTCAAATGCTTTGTGCTTTCTGGGGAATAGACCTTTTAAAGCAGCTTAACGTGTATCTGTGATCCAGAGACTTGCTGTGGTACTTGAAACTTGTCCTCGAGGTTCATTTGCAGGTTTCAAATCAGGGGAAGCTGCAGACTTTCTATACATGAAGTGCCCAAACTCCTTGCAAACAAAGTGTTGAGACTAAAACTTGCCCATAATTACGTAAGCTGGGAATAAATCAAATATTTCAGGAGTTTTCCTTCATCTTCCAGCATTCCCTCATGCTGGTATGCCACACTGTGCCTTTGTAAGGTCACTGTAACCAGCTGTCCCCATGTGCTGTTGAGGTTACCCTGGGTCAGTGTGGGCTAAGTGATGCTCCCTTCAGGGTTTGAGAACTTGAGTGCTCACTGCCCAGCTGTGCCAGCTTAATCTTGGGGTTAAAATGCTTCTTTGGTGTCCTTCTCCAGCTAAAGAAGTGTTTGTGCACTCCTTGGCATTGTGTATTTATATTTATATATAAAAAAATACGAACCCCAGCTCTTGGGACTGTATTTCACTCATCTTGTACCCGTGGTTGAGTATACACAAAGAAGTTTGTTTGCTCAGTGGCATCTGTTGCTGGCCTGTTTCAAATGGCAGAGCTTGTCCCAAACCACAAGGAAATATTAATTGAACATTTTATTGGGCCACTGGTAATGACATTTGTTAAATATTTGCCAAGTATTCTTCTTGCTGGCTTCTTCAGTGGTGTCACATTCTACTTCGTTGCTCTTCCAGTTCACCTTTAGCTTGTTTTCAGTTTTGCCATCACTTTTCCATCATCTTTTTCAATCCTGCTAACAAGTCTACGTGGGTTTAGATTGTATCAGTCCTGCTGGAACCCCTTGAGTTTGTGCTTTTGTAAGGATGTGTTTCACTGGGCAGAGAAGCCAATGAGATTTGTCTTGTCACTGAATTCACAATTGCTTTTTAGTTTTGAGCCTCGTGGATAGCTTCTCCCTTTCATTTACCTTTGCTTCCAGCTTCCCCAGGTCCAAGCATGCCAATGCTGCAGAGCCATGCAAGGTAACAGAGCAGTGCAAGGTTCCCCTCTCCTGCTGAGCTTGCAGGGAAAAACCTATAAAAATATGTGTGTTTGCCTCAAATAGCTGAAGCTGACAAACAGCAGAAACACTAATGCTGTCTGCTTTAATAATTAGAAATGTAGCAATATTGGTAACCAGTAAAAGGGGTAAACAGTCTTTTAAAATATTAAAGTAAAAGATGGGTGTGATGGGGGAGGAAATGGCTGTTAGCATTTTGGGTCAACTTAGGTTGTCTCAAATACATATATATATGTGTGTATATGTATGTATGTATATATGTATATATAGCCTATATTGGATCCTTGGATGAGGGAACTCCTCAGAGCCCTCCTGTAATTAATGCCACTTGCATTTTGATTGTGTTGTGCACAAGCCCAAAGTGGGCCAGGTTTACTTTCTCCTGCAGTGGACCGTGTTGATAAGGCAATATATAACAGATGATTCATGAAGTGCTGCTTGTCATTGCCAGGGCTGCTTGAATAGTGAGCAGATTTTGGGCAATGCTTCTTCACCGGAAAGATTTGGGCAGTTTAAACTGAGAGGAGGAGGAGGAGGAGAGAAAAATCTGCACTGTATTTCTGGCTGTCTTAAAGGAGCTGCCTCAGAGCATTTAGAAGAAGTTGGTGGGGGGAGAATGGGTGAAATAAAGGGGGGTAGAGAAGCAGGAAAGCACACG